GGAAACCGCTAACCGTCTTCCTGTCGCATAGTCCGCCCGCCACTATCACGCTTGAGGTCATTGGCGTCTCCTTCCTCCGTTGTCGTCATATTGTTTCTTCCCGACCACCATCGTGTTCCCTTCAGCCGCGCCGAAGATTGACGCCAATGTGCCACGGCTTGACAGGGCAACGACTACTGCTCATGAACTCAGGCACCGACAAATTCAGCTACAGAATCAATTGGTCGAGGCGAAATTGGCCACTGTCCACATTCATGCGATTGACAGCGTGATTGGAGCTTGACCGTCCCAAACAATCCCGTCCAAATACATAGAATGGAGGCGATACAACGGTGATTAGATGATAAAGTAGAGAGTTGCTGTCGGTGAGGCTCCGACACATGATAGCAGAAGATGGGAATTTAGGGGCATTCTTGTGGAAATTAGATAATGTTTAAGGTCACAATTGCAAACTTAAATTTTTTAATTATATTACAATTTAACCCATGGGCCAAATATACAGTTTATAAAAAGTTATAAGAAATATTATTTTATATAGTTTCTTATAATTTTTTTTATATACTTGTAAAGTATGAAATATTCTGTTTCAATTTGAATTTCATTTTTTCGTGAAGTAAAGGACAAAATATGACATTATAATAGTTTTGGCATATGAAAAGGATAAAAATCGAGCTGGTTGGGTCATCGAAAATCGATCTAGATTTCAATGCCAACTAATTACGCGCCATAGATTAGCATGTGATTTGTTTTAATACTAAGTGGCATATATATTTAGTATTTTTATATTAGCATGTTATTTTATATATATTTGTTATGTACATATAATATGTATGTTAAAAAAATATTAAATAAAATACTAAAATACTAAATATAATTTTATTATACAAATAATAAATTATTTCGATTACTTAAACTACACATTATAATATATGTACATAATTTTATTATATTTTTCAATAAAAATATTAAAATATTGATTATATTTTTCATAAGAAATAGTTGCACTTTGATTGCACATTAGTGTTAAACAGATTGCATAGTAGTGACTGACAGATTGCACTATAGCGGTCCAAATAACCAGACAAAGTTGTGGGTTCAAATTTTATATTGTTGGTTCGATTATTTGTTTTTTTCACTTTTAAAATTTTGGTTATCTCGGTTCAATGTCAGATTTATTGTTTTAAATAACTGACTGATCATATTGTATAAAAAATGTTATTTTGTTATATAGATTTATATATTTTTTAGGTCTTTACAACAAAAAAACATTAAAGAATATTAAATAAAAATATTAAAATACGAAATATATTTCCATAACATAAATTATAAATTATTAAGGTTAACGATCAAATAAACTGATTATTTCAGTTTTTAGATTAGTTTGGGGAAAATCATTAAAAATAATGCAGTTCGAATGCACATTAGTGTTAGATGGATTACACGTTAGTGACTGCTAGGTTGCACTATATCGACAAAATAATGACCGAACTAAATTCGTTGAAAATGCATGTGCTATGAGTGCACAATAGTATTAGACGAATTACACATTAATAAATATCGTATTGCACAAATAGCGAACGACGTTGAACAAATTAAAATTCCATTTTAAGATTTTATATTTCAATTCAATTATCTATTTTTGACTATAAAAATATCATTTATTTTGAGTTGATGTCGTTTTTGTATTATTATTTTATTTTTTAACTATTAAATTGTACAAAAGAGATCGAAACCGACCGAACACAAATTTTTTCGATAATATAAAAAATAAAAATAAAAATCATTAACATTATAAATTTAATTATCATATTAAATAGCGAACAACCAACCGATATAAAACTTTCATTTAGATTTCTTTATATGTATGTTCTATTATCTATTTTATTTTAAAATTTCGGTTTAGATCGATGTCGTCTATAACTTTACAAAATAACTTAAATAATCAGACCGACAAGATTACACGATTATATATATATATATAATATAATATTTATTTTAATCCAAGTCTAATATAAATTATGAAGTAAATTTATTAAAAATACTAATTATATCTTTTTTTCCAAAACGATAGATGAATCTATTAACTAAAAAGCGAGCAATGCTCGAATGCAACCATGTTCGAATAATAACAACAACTTGAGAGGTACATCTTCAAGATGACCTAGAGCCTCAACAAACAAACAAGGCTCCTCTATCTCTCTAGCTCTCTCTCTCTCTAGATCCATCTTCCTCCTTCCTATCATCTTGCTCCTCCATTGACTTTTCGGTCTCCACCTGACCTTGCCGGCGTCCGCCGTCGCTGGCGGCGTGCCGCCCGACTACGGGGGGCCCATCCGCCTTCCCCTCTGCCGCATCTCTCCATTTCTTTCCCCCTTTCTTCTCCATGGCCACTTTTTCGAACCCCCAGCTTCAGCCCTCACCGACTCATCCGGTTTTTTTGTTCAGTCTTCCGGCGAACTTCAAATCAAACTTACATCATGGACTAATAACCTAAAAAAACCCTCAGATCTGCCGTTAAATCGACTTTTCCATCGACCAATCTACCTCACCTTACTCGAGATAGATGTCCGCCGGTCCAAGGAAGAACCAGTCCCGGCGCCACTCCGCCAGTTGTTGGTTCATCTCCACCTGTAACAGCGCCGCAGCCAATGGCTGGTTCCTTCCCGGCAGGCACCATCCCTCCTTCCGAGTCCGGTTTCCAAGCAGATCTAGCTGCCGGCAATCCCTGGCCGGTTCAGTTTGGCAAAATTCCGGCGAGAACCCTACCCTTGCCGTCAATCCCACCTCCTACCATGGCGTCAGATAATCTCTACCTAAAAAACACGAACCTTATCCTCACGTCATCAGACACAGACTTTCCCTTAGCTCACTTATTGGACCGCAATATTGGGCCTCTCCCTAGGCCCATCTCAGCACCTTCTCTCCCTCTTTATGGGCCGACACCCTTGGCCCTTCTCCCTTCTCTCCCCAATTCTCAAACCCATCTCAATCCCCCCCTCTCCCAAACTAGGCCCAACACATCAGGCCCTCTTCCACCCCCCCTCTCTCTTCAGGCCCAACCATCAGTCCCCTCCGCCCCAATATGGACTGCACTCAACGTCAAAACAGACGACGGCTACCTATGTCTCTGCATCCCTGATGTCGGCCGGCGGCACTATCTCCTACCCCGGTGCCGGCGTCGATCACTCTCAGACGGGCGGGG